GTCCTGGCCAAATTTCCCATTGGCCTTTACCAATCGTGGCCTCCTAATAAACCCCATCTATGAATTGGCTTCATCACTCTGTTCTCCTCCCCACTGATAGCTGTGTGTGGTGAGTGTTCTGGAGCACTGTGGCTGCTGTCCCATCATCCAGGTGTGGCTACACATTAGTGGTGGTGAAGGGTACAGGAAAGTACTATATGAGTGTAAGCAATTATTATTAACTTCCAATTGATGCATAAGTCAATCACTTAAACATTTTATGAACAGTTACAGGCAATGGAAGAGCCAAACACTTGTCATTAATGAACACTGAAATGTTATAGCACCAGACCTGAGAAATATTACATGGAGAACTACTTAATGACACAGTTCTTGAAAATCGGGAGGTTGTGGAAGGAGTGAAAAAGATAAAAGGCAGTATATTTCCTCATAAATAAAACTGATCATTAGTACAGTTACTATTTCTTGTTTATCTTCTTGACTGTCCGTATCCAATCAAGACATCATCCAATCAATGTTGAGCAGCAATTACTGATTTTTTTGCATTCTTCCTTCTCTGATCAAATAACTTAATTCCGAGGTGTTTTAAGCTCATTCTCTGTGATATTAGGAGAGCATACAAAAAAAATCCATATTCATATTCATATTCATTATAGTCCAGAATTTGATCAATTCTTACATAAAGAATGAAAGAAAAAGTGGTATTGATCAGAGAGTACAAAACTAACTCATGTTCCCACACTTTTCTCAGAATAATCAGTTCATCTAAGATTATCTCACTTTACCACACCCCACCAACTTTAGGAGCTTGAGAGATCCAAAACAAGACATAGATACAGTATAGGCAACATAGAATATACACACAAAAAAACAATAACACACAATTCAATTTTAATGAGAAAATAATAATATACTTGTGTAATTGCGAGCCTTACATTTCCTATAAAAACAAAAGAAGCAGAATATTAACATACAATAAGTGGTTAAGGATGCTTAACGTTAATTTGATTGCTTTTCACGGCCACCCCACAGTGCTAAGAGCATTCAGTTTAATTCATTTGGTTACCTCCCAATGATTTCTACTGTTGTGGCATGACAGCATCTCCTGTACATCTCACCCAGGGGATGGTGGCACTTTAAATGCTTGTGCCTTCTGAGTTACAGTTATGCTTATGATTATTATAATTATTATTATGAAAATAAAAAGCTTAACAACTCACCAAATAGTGTTTTTTTGTTATTTTTTTATAACAATACATACACAAAATTCAGTCAACAAAGAATACAGTTTTTTTACTCCATGGGAGACAAAGTTGCGTGAGCAACAATCTTCCTATTTTCAATTCCCTCTGTAGCTCTTATACTGTATACATTTTATATATTCTAGTTTTTTCACTACAGCATGCACATGAGGTACTGAAAAGGTAAGTATCTGCACAGCTCAGCGTTAGCAAAACTAGTGCAAGGGCCATTCACACAAGAAAGCACTATGGGTTTTTTTTTTACAAAACTGAATGGCACAGAGCATTCAGCTTCAAATGATATCAATTTCTAGAAACAAATCCATGGTCACTGATGTCTTGTTTAAGGGGAAGCTTTTCTCTACATTTACCGACAAAGTAGCCTGTGATTTCTGGATTACTGCGGATGTGGTGCAAAGGTACTGTATATCTGCAATTTGTGGCTGCAGCGAATTGCTGTCTCTAGTGGGGAAGTAGCAGAATAATGACATTAATATTTGTAATATACTGAAGTTCTGCAACTGCAAGTCAATTGCAATATCAGTGTCACCGTACACCCAAACCAAGTACAGTACCGGTCGGTCAAAGTCATTAGTTCATGTTTTTAGTCCTGTTCTTATTTCCAAATATTCAATCTTTCAAAAAGGAAGACACTGGAAATTAATCTAAAAAAAATGTTTGCAGTCCTTTCATGAGCTTTTCATTCTGATCAGACACACCTGAAAAGTGTCTTTTTTTTGTTCATACATTGTTTCACACAGTTTAATTATTCTTATTCTTATTATTATAATTATACAATAACAGGACAGAAGGACAGGTATTTAAACAATGATGACTGAGAATATTCTTAATGGATTAAGCAACAAGCTCTTGAAATGTTAAGCACTGTGAATGAGCTGGGTTTCTTGGACAGACCACACTAAATCTATAGTTCTTCTGTATATAATCACTTCATTGGAAATATAAAATGCTGCTGCTTATCTCAAACAATATCTACACTGCTTAAATCATTCATTCAACAGTTCTAACTTAATACTGCTGTAAACCATACAGATTTCCAATTATCTCTATAAATGTATATTATACTGCAAAGTTAGCACATTTCCTTTAAAAAACAACTTCATAAACCCCTTTGAAAATGCAGACAAAATACAACTAAAAAATCCATTGCAATAGTTTAACACATACAACTGCTTTCACAAACTAGACTTGAATTTATCTTATTTTCCATATGAACCAAACTGTACCCCACTTTTAAAAAAGATCCCAGTGCCATTTTTACACTGTATTTTGTTTTTGAACTACAAAGCTTCCCTTACTATAATTAAAAATACGTTCAAAATCCACACCCAACTACTAAAAACCATTCTTCTGCATTTTAAAAACATACTGTACGATATATAGTGACCACACAATCAGGCAATATCTTTATATTTGTGCCATTTACAGTAAATTAATCTTTTTACACAACAATAATTTAATAAGAGTATGAAGGCCATTGTAATGTTATTGTATCACTAATAGAAATATCACATTATATTTGGTTTCTATGCATTGTGTCCTAACATATAAAAAAGCTTCTATGACAAAATAATACTTGATCAACTCAAATGTGCATATATTTAAAAAAAAATTCTAATCCTTGCCATGAGAAAAAATCACCTTGCTCCAAAACATTATTATGAAATACGTCCTTTTTAAAGTGTTTCACTTTACTTTCCGAACCTCTTTACCTTACAACAACCAAGATCAAGCTTTATATCTAAAAAAATCCTTCAAAATCAAATCTCATTCCATCACTACACAACTTTCCATTTATCACTCTGCAACAGCCTACAATAAATACAAGAAATATTATAACCTCCCTGGTAACAAACTTTTGATTTAGAATACATTTTAAGCATAATGGCTATGGTCATTTCAGCAGCACTGCTGGACCCACTTATGATTTAAACACATAACATTGAAGTAAATGGTTTCTCAAGCAGCGGCACTGGGACCCATAGGGTTAATCAGAGACAGACCAGAGGGACTTAAGAAAGTAAATCTTTCACTTTCGTGTTCATTCCTTACTGTACAGAAAATCAACACGTTCTTACAGCAGATCTGTTCTGACAATGCTGAAAGATGCTCAAATGGCCTGTAGTACAGGTTTTTAATTTCTGTATTCAGGGCCGGATTTTGGTGTTCGTAGGCCCTAGGCACTTTCACTCTGAAATGTGCAAAAAGAGGGGTAAACACCAGTTGAATTACGTTGATTGACATGATGCACTTTTAACTATTCTAATGCTAAACCATACGATTGATGGAGCGAGTTGAGTGACCATCACTTCGATACTTCTAGATTCGTAGGCCCTAAAAATTTCGTAGGCTGTAGGCACTGTGCCTTCAGCGCCTAATGGGAAATCTGGCACTGTCTATCTGTATTTAGTATAAGCAATATTAATCAAACCTATAGGCTTCAGTTTTCTGTGTAAAGGTCCTTATTTAGTGGGTTTTGTTTTAAAAGGTTTTTCAACTGGGAATAGTTGAAAATAAATATTTGAAAAGAAATAGTTGAAAACCCCTGGATTATGATGTTGAATCTCAGTAACTCTTTATCTAATGATCATTTGCCACATACAGTAAATGCAATTTCTGAAACATGAAGAATCCTCCCCCAAAAAAACATGTAAGCCAATTCATTACCATTTCTCATCTAGAAATTAGTGTTTACAGTTTACTTTAAAAAACATGATTTTGCCATTAATTCGTGTTGTTGTTTTGGTAATTGGAATCATGTATGGTGTTTTAGTGCACTTCGAAATTATGGGTTTTGCTGCAAATTGAAAAAACAAATTTAAAAGTCATAAAAATGCATTTACCCGACTAATCCAGAAAATACAGTAACATCAAAGTTGCCTTTGTGTTACTTAAACGAGCAGTGTCCTTTGGAATGCTGCTCACAAATGCACATACTGTAAAAACAGAAAGAATAAAAAACATAATTTTCCTCTAAATGCTATTGGAGATAGCAATTTCAGGGGCTCCTTGTGGGTCATCCAATCAATCAGTTTGTTTCTTTTCATTTGAATCCGGTGGATCGGAAGAACTCCCAATTCAGACTTTCCATTCTGACAACAGAAAACCCCAAAACAAGTCTGTGCGAAACTGTAATCCATTTTCTTTAAGTTGTATTCCATTCTTTTTATAGTATCCAAAGCAGGTTTTGGAAAGGTGACACCCTTCCTAGTTTGATATAATCTCACTCCTCAGATGTTGGCCAAGGGTTTCTTTATTCTGAGGCTTCCTTGAAGATGAATAAGTCCTGAGTTCAACAGGACCTATCAATTGAGTTCAACAATTACCAAATCTATTTTTCACTTCATATCTAATAATTTGATATAACATTTTCCAGCAAATATTAGTAAAAAGATTGAGTAATCCTGAACTGATATTTCAGGTACTCAACAAACATGCACAAAATCATAATTTATTGCCTCAATAATGTTTATACAAAGTGTCCCTGTCAGTGAGAAAAATATTTTATGGAGGGGAACCTACTGTACATGCTGTAGTTTACAATCATAAAATGAGAAACTAAGCCCTATCCACAAGACAAAGTCTTCCTTAAAAGTTAAATACAGTACATTGCATTGTAAACACAAAACTGTAATGCTGGAGTTTTAAAGAGTGGGAATATGGGAGAGCTGAAAGAGACTTTTATAGATTTAAAAGAATATCAGAAGATGTTTGTTAAAGGCCACAAAACTCTCATTTTACAAAGTGAGGTAATATTGAATTTAATACTTTCAGATATATTTTCACCTACTACTTTCCATATTGTATGTTTTTTAAGTAAGTGTAATATGCTGGTTGCAATAATCTACATAAGGATTCTGAATTTTCTACAAGAAACAGCATAATAACACCAGTTTAGAAACTACAAGCCCAACATTAAAATACTGTATGTATTTAATTTGAGTTTAATTTGGTAATGTGGCTATATGACAACAACTTTAGAGAAACCTGCTATAATTATCCAAAATAATTCCTAAACATTTGGGTAGTCTTCATTCTTTAAGTAGTTTGATTGTTTTTTGTTTAGGAGTATAATTTATGAATAAAATGTGATTTATTAATAATAGTCCAGGTTTATTGCGTAGCACAAAACTGTTAACTCATTATAAATTGGCAAGTAATGTTTTTGCACAAGTGCTCAGATGTATTGTTATAAGTATGACAAGTATCCTGCTCAAAGTTCAGATGTCTGAGCTGTAATATTTTTAGATACTGAATAAAAACAATTGAAAAGTCTTAGGCCATTTTACTGGCTTTTGTCATCCCTGAAAAACGTTTTTTTCTTATTCTCATGTGTATAATCAAATCTACCAATGTGATAAATTCTGCTAGATTAGAGCACTCTGCACTGAGCTGTTTCTCTTTCTGCAGATTATTAGTATGTTCTAGTGATAGCAAGGTGGTCTGTTCAGAGTAACCCACCCAAACCCCATAACATGAAATAGCTATGCATCCTGCTAAATGAACATCCTCTTCCGAGAACTGTTCTGCTTGGCACAGTCTGTTTCCTGTGCTGCCCTGCAGGTGGATATATACAGTATATATGTATCAGACAGCCAGAGTGAAGCTTCCTAAAAAAAACCAAGATTTTTCCCATAGATAGGCGTCCTACTTATATGTTAATTACACCTGTCATTCTTAATTTTCTAACTATTTCTAACTATTAACAAGCCTGCTTTTAGTGTTCTGACAATCTATGCATTGCACATTACCTAGATGTGGCAGGAAAAAAACCATTCAAATGAACAACCTGTATAAGTCAATCATAAAGAAGCCACTTAACGCTTTTCTTCCAGAACCATTAGAACTGTTGGATGAAGTTACTTTTTGAGCATTTGACTGTTTTCACCAGGGAGTGGAACACCTGAATATAAACTCACAAAAAACAAAGTTAAGTAACACCAATATAATAAGTTGTGCATATTATAGAAAAATAGACCATAATGAAGAGAACTATGATAATCCTGCAACCTGTGTCTACAAATGGACTGCTTCATGTGTAATTTTAAAAGCCCATTTTAAGATTAAGATTGCAGAACTCTGAATAATATCACTTGGACACACTTTGTTTGTGTTTGTCTTTCGACATAACCCATAAACAAAAATAAATGCACATAAATAATGACCCATGAAAGAAGGCAAAGAAATCAAGATCCAACTTAAGATTGTTAAAACAATCCTTCATCTTAATAACAACATGTCTGGCTATCAGTACTGCTATGGAAAGGTGACAGCTGAAACTAAAACAGCTCTTTCCAGTGCTTTAGGAGCCCAAACACAAAAACATGTAAGACAAATGTAAAAAAAAATATTTCTAATTATAAGGATTCATAATTCATAAGGTATTATTTTGTCATTAAAAACACTTTATGAGACTTTAGTATGGGAGCAGTATAATCTAAATCACAATGTATAACTGTTCAGTCTGGTCATCTTTAGGGGTCCACTAATCCCAATGGCACAGTGGGAATCAGTTATCAGATTCTCCAATGCCTATTGTATGATTCGGTATCATGACATTTCTTTTACTAACTGTCCTTCACAACCTGGCAGGCAGATTAGGATTTCTCCTCCTCTCTGTTCTCAACTACAGTTGGACTTTTTTTTTGAGCCACTAAAGGCAACAATTCAATATCAATACGACGATGTGCATTTTTTCAGTCATTTTTAAAGTATCATTATTAAAAAAAACATGAATATTAATGTTTTTGTATTACTTTCTCTAGAAAAAGTACTGTATAAAAAGTACAATGTCTACACAATTTGATGTGTTCCAAAATGTGCCAATAATAAAAAAGTCTTCAGTCAATAATGTATATTTTTACATGAACTTCTATATCATTCTGGAGACATCCACATTTGGATAGGAAGGTATGATTATCAAGACTTTGCCACTGGGTACTAACATTAAATGTTGTTTTTCTTTATGTTCTAATTTATTGAGTAATTGGCATACATATCTACTGTAAAATGGCATCATTCCACAAAATGTTTTGTCCTTTTTGTGTGTGATTTTCTTTTGCTCATTTATTGTATGTGAGTGGTTTCTTTGCCCTTTTCATTTAACTTCATTTTTTCAGAAACTGACAATACGACCTCAGAATAAAGTCTTTTAAATGAAAGAAGGCAACCTGACCCAAGACAGCTCTTTCTCTAGGTCACATGCTCTGGACTACAGGCTTCTTCAATGGGATGGTTTCAAAGTCAGCTGACTAGTTAGGCTTTTATGTTCAAAGCAATCCACAATCTTGAAATTGCCTTTAAAAGTGAGCAACTAGCTTCACTTTTCTTTGCAGTTCACTTTTGCACATTCTCAGCGCTTCAGCACACTAAAACGGAAAAAAGAAAAACCTGAAGCAGGAAAAAGACGCCCCTCCACCCCCTTTGCATAGTCTTTCAGTTCATCCCCCTGAACCGAGGACCTTTGAAATGATGAAGAAGGCCTTTGTCTTCAGGGTGCCTCTGTTGTCTTGCATGGTAGATCTGCCATTTCCACCAATAAACGTGTGGGAGTCAAAGCTGTCCACTGCAATCCTGGGCATCTCTCTGTGATTGTCATGTGAGTGTGGGGGGGGGGGGGGGGATCAATTTATTCTTCTTCTTCTTCTTCTTCTTGGTTAGCGTATATCCCAGCTTCCCACCGTAGTGCCATGGAACTTTTCCTTCGAGTCACTCTTGTTGCCTCCAGCACCTGTTGAAAGCAAACCAGAGTACTCAGTCCTCCGAAATGTCTCCAGTGATCATGAATACTACACAGACTTTGCTCCCAAATCTTAACTTTCCACTTGCCCTAACAGTTAAACTCTAAATCCATTTGATATTAGATGCAGCAAAATTGGATACTGTAACACTTGAGCTAATTTCACTTGTTTTTATTCTGTCCCACTTTTCTGTCCATTGTCGGAAAACTGCTTATTCCCAGGAAGGCTTGGGGTGGCCTCGACCCTATAATAAAATACAAGTAGGGACAAATGCCTGGTTTGGATAGTGGTCTATCACAGTGTCCCATTATTATTGAAAATGGGTTATTATTAAAAAAAAATGTACATATTCCAAGCTGAGTATGTTTCAGATTTGAGTGCTGAGATCTTGAAAACCCAAATATATATTTTTATACTTTATATATATATATTATTTATATATAATTTGGGTATGCCTAATGCTCTATGTTTACTCTGGAATCTGTAACGATAACATGAAACACAAAAATTCCAGCAACCAATTCACACAAGGAACTGTAACATGAAATAATGCTTAAGTATGGTGTTATTTTTTACAATATATTTGACTTTATGTTAGAAAATTACTTTCCCTTTGTTTGGCTGATCCCACACTTTTGCTTTTTTGCCTACATTCAGTTACCTCTAATTAAAAATGTTTAGTCTCACACTGAACAGTTCTTCCTAAAATGATATTCAGACCAGAACTTAATGGTTAGAAAATAGGTCATTTTGCCAGCATGGATAAATTCTGTTTGCTCCTCTGACAGTACTAGAAGAAAAGAATCCCTAAGCAGAAAAATACATTTTAAAGAAAAGCAGGGAAAAGCTGTCTCAAAACAAGGTTAACTGACACACAGCATAGAAAAGAAGAAACAAGCAGAAAAAATTGCATAGTTAAAAAGAGAATTTGGCTTCTTATTGAGAGGCACCAACTGCACATACTGTACTCCAACATACAGAACAATTCTGAAAATTGTTCTTTCAAAACATGTTATGTGCCAGCTTCATTAAGTCAACTTTGTAATCATGAAGTAAACACTTGGAGAACTAATGGTGTGTAACAATGGAAATTTTAATGGCCAGCTATATAAAAAGACCATAAATTAACACCCTAATAATAAAAAAGGAAAACAGTCTGGCATGCCAGCACTTACCAGGTGCATAGTAATTGTTACATAAAGACTAGCTCCAGACTGTATGTTAGGAAAAGTATTTTTTGTTTTTGATATGAACCACAGACGTCTATATAATCCCAACAGGACCACATACAATGCCATTGTGTCTTGTATATACAATTAAGGGAGTACAAAGTTCTTTGCTCGCTAATCCAAATAAAATTGTTTACATCTTAAAAAGATTATGGTCCTGTTTTCTATTAACATGATCAAATGTTATAGTGTAAAAATAGTATTTTGTTTGTTGTCATGTCTAAAGAGAGTGGATTGCAGGACTTTCATTTTGAATAATGTAGTGCCTTACAAAAGTATTCAGACCCTTCCTGTGGTGTCCCATTTTGAAGAATGACAGTACAAAAAGATGCATACACATTGTTTTAAAATTATTTTTGAATGTTTGCATTCAAAACCTGAATGCTGAAACTGAGGGCTTCTAAGGGTAAGATACGTTACAATACTGTAAATACCAGCAAACACCAAAGAGAAAAAACTGAAACATGTTGATTGCATAAGTATTAAGACCTGTGAGCTCAATTATTGGTATTGGTACTGTATACACTTCTTTTTTGGCAAGTCTCTACCATCTTTTCATACTGACTTGGTAAACTATTTGTCAATTTTTCTTGACAGATTTCCTCCAGCTCTTTCAGGTTGCTTTGTGATAATTTATTGACAGCATTCTTTAAGACTTTCCATGAATTCTAAAAAGAATTCAAGTCAGTTATTTGACTGGGCCACTCAAAAACATTCAATTTCTTAGTTCAGTGTAGCTTTGCCTTGAGGGTTGATATTGTCCTGTAGAGAGGTGAATTTTTGCCATTTTAAGGTTTTTGCAGACTGAAACATGTTCCTGTAGGACCTCCCTGTACTTTACTCTGTACTTTTCCTCTTTTATCCTAATGAGCTTTACAGTCACTGCTTTTAGAAAAATTCCATTAACATAATGTTGTCACTACCATGTTTAATTGTAGGGAGGATGTTGACTGGGTGATGCATTGAGCCTTATCTAATGCTTAATTTTTGTCTCATATGAATACAAAATCTTTTGCCATACTGTATGTTTGCAGTATCGCTTAAATGCTTTGTTGTAAACTGCAGTTACTGTAGCATTAGAGAAAGGTTTACCACTCTGCCATAAAATATAATTTTGTAAAGTGTTGTGGATATTGTCGACTGATGCACATTTTTGCCCTCTCAGCCATAAAACTCTGTAGCTCTTGTTGTCAGTTGTCACTGGCTTCATAGTGGCAATCCCTCAAAAGTTCCCTTCTTGTCTAGCTACTCGTGCTGGGACGTTTGGATCTGGGAAATGTCTAGGTGGTATGATGGGCCTTCTAATTCTTTAATTAATTGAACAGACTGCAATCAGGGGGAAATTTTACTTCACTATTTTTTGTACCCCATCTCCTGTTTGTGTTTTTCAATGAGTTTATCCCTGACTTGCTTTGAAAAGCTTTCAAAGCAACAATAATTCTGTCTTAATAATTCTGTAAGGTACTGTATTCCTTTGATACTTATTATAGGTATTATTGTTCAAAATACTAATAATAACTAAAAATTAACACAAGGAGGCTCATTTGAATGTTAATGGCTTCTCTATATGAGCTTAGACCTAGAACAGTATTTTCCATAAAGAAACATACAAGATAACACTGCTTCTTAAAGCTTTGCATTTACAGTAGTTCTAAACAGAAGACATTCCATGTTCAAAACAAAAATGTACGAAAGTGATAAGCTGTTTTTTTTTATTTAAAACGGTCAAACATGAGGAGGAAAGAAAAATATTTGGTCCATTGCAAAACACCAGCAATGGTTTTAATGTGAAGCAAGTGCCATTTAATAAGAAGAGCTTCCGAGTACTGAATTCAAATAGTCTATATTAAAAGGTGATTAAGTCACACTGAAACAAACTCTTTTGTCTGGTTTAATTGTACATTAGGAACAATGAAGACAGTGGCACAGTGGGGGTTGGTGCATGCAAAACCATACACATGCAAAAACAGAAAATAAACAGAATTGAGCCTTTAGGCAAGCACTTAACAGGTACCTCAGAAGTAACGTCATTAGCGAGCAATAAACGGGCGTACTGATGGAAAGGAAAGAATCAACATTAGTCAGTCAATGTGAAACATTGGAAATGGTGTAAAGAACAACATTAGAAAATACAGCCTCCCCTTTGCAGCACATGTGGGGCTTTACTGTAGCCAGCCAGATGCAAGGTAGTCAATGTAAGTTACTTTTTTTCCCAAGATTATCACTATACTTGTTTTAAGTCATTAAATGAAATGTTCAGGATCAAAGCTGTACAGTATATGCAATGAAGCAATGGAGGCTTAAAAAAAGGTTTTAGACGCGTGGTGCTTAAAAACGTCACAGATCTTGCAGTTGATAGAAACAGTTTCAAAATAGGGACACCTGCAATAAATCATAATTTTGACTTTACTTAAACCTAAATAAACCTTTTAATAAACCTTTCAATTGTCCCTGCCACATTATTGTTTATAACTTCCAATATTTTCTACCTGAGTATGACTTGCTCTCAGTGTTAAATTAAGGTTAATTGGTAGTCCTGTGGAATCAACAGTGACAGAAAACATCTTTGTATATAAATGTGGAACAGAGGTACAAACTTTTTGAGCAAAGGTAGCCACACATCCATACAAAGGGGATACTGCTGCACATTGTTTTTCATTTAAAAAGATGACAATAATGCAAAAACAGTCAGCACTTGATATATATGCTAAAAGACTAAAAACCTCCACTTTATGAGCACCCTGCAGCAATGAGTCATTTCCTCTCTTTTGGTGTCTTCTTTTCCATGTGTAGAATTTACATTTTAAGATAAATAACTACTTTAGCTTCAATGTTTTCATTCACTGTGAATTCACATGTTCTATTATTCCTTAAACAGCAAAGTTCAGAACACCTTGGTGACTGTAAATATGTTTAACTGCCAAAAGTCTCAGTACATTTACTAAAGATTTATGAAGGAATTTATAAGTGGGAATTCATACTTAATGTAAGAATATTAAAGAACATTCCAGAAAGCATCTTGAACAATGCTACGTTTCACTGGTGAGCTACAAATGTACTATTTAATAAGCTGCTCTTTATACATGTTAATTCATTTAATACATAATTAATACAGGAGTTATAAAATATTATAGCTCTAAATATTAAGAATACACACACAATATTAAAGTTTAGCAATAAAGGGATATTTCATGCAGGCATTATACTTTGTGGTATTGACAAATACTCTAAATATTTCATTTTAGTTTGCTTTATTAATACTTCATTAACTCTTTATATCTAATAAAGGTGTGTAAAAACATTCATAAACAACACCTTAGTATAACAATACCTCAGTATATTTTTTCTATAACCTTATAATTCAGATTTTTCAAGCATAGAACAGAAATATAAACTAATTATTTTTCAAGTCTGCAATGAATTCCTGCCCAAACAAAAGAACAAAAACAAAGAAACAAAAGTAAGAAAAATTAAAAAATCAAATTTGGTTCTAGTTCTAATTTTAAAACATTAAATAGATTATACAGACATTAAGATTTTCTTGTGACCAACTGTTCTTATGTTTTTGTTATTCTAAAACATTTATGGAAAACCTTTAAGTTGAACAGACCAGTATGACATTTCATAATCTTCCAAATTGATATTCAATTCATATTTGACTGGGAACTTGAATCACATTCGTGTAACATGGAATTTGTATCATGCTACTGTATATACACGAGTGCTGACTGTGATGGAAAAAAAATCATTACACAGTGATGACTGATTTCACAGTGGTAACTGAGTAACATCTACTTACTGATTGGTTTAAAACCAGTGTATGTGCAGGACACAAATATGTTATCTACTTTGCAATGTGTCTTTCCACACATTGAGAATTTAAGACCTTCCCACTGTCAGACATAGAATGACTTTATTCCTACCACCCGCAGTCCATAATCATATGTTCTTTGTCCCAACCAAGTCTTCTATAGCAGCCTTCACAACAGAGGCTGTAACACAATGTTTTCTGATGTGGAGATGTATACTGTATGCACTATATAGACTTCCTTTGGAATTTTGCAGGATTAGAAACAGTATAAAGAATCATATATGAGATGCTATAATTTATTTTAGAAAACTGAATAGCAGAATAAAATGGGAGTCTTGGAAATGACTTGTCTCTTGACTGAAAAGCTGATGATTTAGGGAAGAAATCCCCAAACATTGGAAAAATAATAGGTATATTTAGATGAGATTATAAGTGATAGTATAAATATTCATTATAGAAAATTATTAAACAACGAAATCTCTCATTTTTCATAATTTACTTCTAGCAAGTGGGATGTACTTCAGATTTATAGTTTGATATTTAGTTAGATACTAATTAATGCATTTCATTAAGTAAAGCACAAGCTGGTAAAAAAAAACTCATACTAATTTTTGCCTCTACATACAACCTGAACGTATAATGTATCACATTTCCAGTGTTTGTTTTCTGACATACCTCCCTTTAAAAAGACCATTTATTGTTTTCTGTGACAGACGATGTTTCTTGTCATTACTATTTAAAACATTGTAGAGACAATCATTGTAAAATCTATACATGTCCAATCAATTGAAAAGAATATTGGCTGGAAGTCTTGTTCAATAACTGGCAAAAATACAGTAATTAAACAACCATATACAGCATACACATATATATTGGGAAACTGCAGAACTGGGTAGAGGTTTTCGCCTCACAAGGCCATCGGGGACAATTTACTATTGATGCCGATTACTAATCTCAGAGCCTGTTTAACTCACATTCAATTCAGCAGTTTCCTGATATGTGTATAAATATAATTGTGCTTCACCTGAAAGCCGACCTTAATGGATTGATGAAACAAAACATCAATTGACTGAAATGTTCAGGAAAAAGCAGCCTGACTTGTTTTTTAATTAGCAGAGTAATTAGTTTTAGTGTTTTTAACTGGGAAACAGATTTGACCAAAGCAAGTTTAAAGGGACTTCACATGACAAAATATACTGTACCTTCAAATAATACCAAACATTATGTATACAGGATATCAACCTGACCAGAAGTGTGAAATGTACCATTGTAGTTCATATTAAGGAAAGGGAAAGTCTAAAATTTCCACACCTGTGACATTGAATTAGTAGTACTGTGAGTTAATGTGTAGGAACACACATTGCCACTTATCCCACAAGTTGATTAGAATGATGTTGATATGGATTCAGATTCATGTCCCATGCTCTCAAATGACAAGGCCTCCCATCAGAAAACACATGTATACATTGTCATTTCCTGCCTGTAATTGCTTGGATCTAGGTTTGTGTGGATAACAATGGATGCGGATCAAAACGAGAAACCAGAGTGAAAAGTGAGGAAGTCACACGAGAAAGGTAGAAAAAACGAGACTTACACTTGCATCCTCCACCTTCTCTCGCCGTTTCACTTTATGTGTCTCGAAATCCTCCATCAGGGTCTGCATGAAGTTCTTTGGACGCTGGCTACCCCCTGATTCGTCACTGCCCTGGTCTGAGAGAGGAGACGGCAGAGGACCTTCTGACGAGGGGGAGGTAGGTGGGACAGATCGAATTTTTTCAATCTTCCCTGCAAACGAGAGAAACTGTTAGTTATAAATTATCAACCTGCAAGATTAAGCATAGTCTTAAGCGCAGAACTTTGGGCGTCGTTGGCATACATACTGTACAGTAGGTTTGCCTTTTTACAGTGAGCACAAGTGACACTCAGCTGGAAGAATGGATGCAAGTGTCTGCAATCCGTGTCAATGTCTCCCATTGCATTTGTTTTGACACCTTCTTAACTTCACTCTCTGTTATGCCTCTTTTTAGCTCTTAGTTTTTCAACTTCATTTTTACTTTACAGACTCTGTGCCACATCATGTCAGTTATGACCTTATTTAAGGGTATGATCTGAATACAGTAGACAAACTCTGTTATGATTGCCTGAGAGACAGAGATTAATGTATAGGAAGTCAAGCTCTATTAAGAGCACACAGGTTTGTCTTAATTTAAATATTTTTAATATTTTCAAGTTAAGGCTTATATATAATGTATGTTTTTATTATCATATTTTACATTTATTTCTGCTTTTGTTTTAAAGAAAACACCTGGCAATCTGAGGCTTTTCAATTTTGTATAATTTTTGGAATGTTAGATACTCTTTCTATGATAGATAACTCTTCTCAAACCCAGCAAAAATGTGACTTATTCTGAGTGCTTTAATTTTATTCTCATTACGTTTTAACACATAAAGCTTAAATGTTGAAAATAACATTTTTTGCAAACCTGAAAAACAATTATTTATATAAAATTGTTCTAATTAAGGTTTCATTTCAATTTTACGAACACAGCCTACACTAAAGGTCCTACAAATACAATGAATCAAAAGAAAAATAATTCTGAAACACATTTAAAATGTTTTGTTCATCTTCCGAAATGAAATCCTGAAAAGGAAAAACAAGTTCTATGTTTACATTAAAGGCCATTTTGCTGGCAGGCAGAGTACAACATAATCTTTATCATTATTAAGGTTATTGGAATTATATTTACAATGGGTCTCATACAGGAACTATAACAGTTTTCTTTATCAACAGAAAGGCTTAGATGGCCTAAGAGATGAATAGTAATCAGAGTACGGAAGTCATAAGAATTGTATATACAATTAAATTCCTGTAAATGGAAGAATTTAATTCTTCTTCTAGGTGACTATTTTAGTTTTAAACAGAAGAGTGTGAGGGGACCTGATTCATGTATTCAAAATCCTCCAAGTATTCAGTTATCGTCAAAGTTAACCAGATGAATTCGTCAGAATCAACATTAAATCAAGAATGACAGGATGCATGTAAGAACTACTGGGAAATGGAATTTTTTACAAAAATGGGTGTGGACGCCAGGAGCAAGCCACACAGCCACATTGTTAAGGCTGACACTCTGGATTCTTTCAAGAAAGAACTTGTTTAGATCTTTACATTAATTAACAGTAAAAATTGATCAAATTGCCTCCTCCAATTTGTAACTTGTGTTACATTCTAGGACATGCAGTTAAATTTAAGGGTAAAATTTAAATTATCAGCCTGCAAGATTATGCACAGTGGCAAAGATGTGAATTTTTAGTTGTAATTCAAATTAAACAAACATATAAAAGCAGTTAACCTTATATTAAATTTTTACATACTGTATGGTGCTCTGAAAACATTGGATGTTTTACGATGGAAGGAAGGATTAAACATAAAAGGTGAAAGGAAAACATCCCTATGAAAACTGAAATTGTTTTGCTTTGTTCCTTTACTGTCAATCAAAGCACAAATACTGTATAATAATTCAGCACAAATTGCAATCTAATCAAACTTGTAACAAATTTCCAGCAGTTAAACTATGCAAATCAAGACTCAGCTCTCTTTTACCCAAACGAGGTAGAATTGATTCATAATGTTTTAATAAAATCCCGCATGAATGTATTGTATTTCTTACTACTACCACCAGAGGTCACAGTAACTTAAAGGCTGATGTGAGCGATGAACAAAAATGTCACATTTGGATTGGCTTTTTTATTGTGTAACATCCAAAGCCAAAAGTTTTTCAAAGGGATACACAAACTGCATATCCACTTATGATGTGCACCTACAATCTTCTGGCTCAGAGCAATGAGGTCAGGGATATCAGAACCCCTCACTAATCGGAATGAGCCAATGAGCTGAAGTAATAATATGATGGAGGAAGGGATGCAAAATGATGAATGCAGTGCACAGAGTGTTATTTAAATATTAATTATAATTAATATTATAATTATATAATATTTACTTGGAGTTTTGGAGGGTAAGCTCTTGCTCTCTAATTTTCTCTCAAATCTCTCAAAAGGGGGATTTAGGACTTGCTTTGCAAATATAAAGCTTTAGCATTATGTGATAATTTATTTTTAAATGCCTGTTTGTATTGATCAAGGCAATAACCAGGCTTTTCAAACTAGTCACAGACAAGATGATGCTTATTTGATAACCCCTGTGACGTGCCCTGCTCAATCCAGTCTAGACAGTTGTCATACTGACGCTCTAGGGAGAGAGACCTTTGGTTGATTCCTGGAACCAAGAATGTACTGTACTTCAATTATCATTACCAGCTGAGGAAAAGAGAAGTATTTTGCAGAATATCACAGTTTTTGTGTGTCTTCACTGGATTTCCTATTAGCATATGCATAAATTCTTTAACAGCACAACATAAAAAAATCACATCTATGCCCATGTAATGCAAAACATCTAAAGTGTATAAACTGTTGAATTAACATTGTTTTATGGCATCATCATTTAATCCTCCCTCTTACCATGAATGACCTTAAAAGCAATATTTTTCATTTTGAAGAAATTCTTAAACATGCAATTGAAATATGCTGGCAACTGCCACAAAGCCATTTTTTGGGTGAAGAAGAAAAGAAAAAGCAGTGATTCATAGTGCCGGATACAGATGTCTTCATTCCAAGGCAACAGATCTAATCTGTTGGAATGTAAAATTAACTAAGAAGTGAATAATGGACAATATGAAGCTAAATATTGGTATTTCCTGGAATAATAAACCAGTGATTGTATGCTATTCTTTTTTTATTAAAAAATACTTGTGATTGGTTTGAAAAAAAATCTATGGAAACTCAAAGATGAACCTTCGTAGATTATTACTGTAAATTAAGAATTTAGTCATAGTTATCAATAAATTAAATTGTGTGAATGAAGGGTTGAAATGTTTAAATCTATAAGTAAAGTAACTGTCTTCCATGCATCCTCCTCAGTTTTTTTCCCTGTACAGAACTAGGTGAGGTTTGCATTCTAACCATTTGATTCCTTCTTTCCTAAAGATTGTTTGGTTTACATTTTTCCAAAAGTGGTTTACTGCAGGTTGTCCTGTTGTTAACATTGCTGCTGAGGATAAAAATAGATAGGTTTTGAATCACTGTTGGTTTTATAATGGTTTCACTAGGAACAACAACATCCAAGAACTGAATGCTTTGTGAATGCTTGGGATAAGTTTAGCTTAACTCCCTTGGTAAATGGGTAGCTCACTGGCCATAGGATAAGGAGGCTTGAATCCCAGTCAGAAGGAGTGAACCGAGGGACAGCTGCAAGGTGGAGATGAAGAGGAGGAGGGATGATTAAGAGGAATGCAAAGGGAGGCAATTGAGTTGAGTGTACCGTGTACCATATGTAGTTTATTCTGTAATGGTGGTGATTAGGTACAGCTGTGTGAGATTGACTTGTCATTGTTATCCCTCCCAAACTTCAGTTACTTTCATTGAATAAAATTATTAAATGGTTGTCGGTTTTGATGAAACATTGAGCTACAAGAAAGAGCAGGCAAGGCATGTTATGCTCTGTGGCAATGCTTCTCAAGCTGTGTGCCATGGCACACTGGTGTTATGTGGAAAGGTCTCAGGTGTGCCATTGAAAAAGAAAAGAACACGTTTAAAACATGAGGGTCAGGAGATACTTTCCCTTCTTGAACCAGCTGTGTACTGCTGTACATCATTGTAACAAGCTCATAGTGAACAAATTCAAGTCCAAAAAGTGATGTGAAATATTTCTTGGTTCTTTGTGTCACTTTTGAATTAAATGTTATTTATTGCACTATGAGTGCTGATTATTATAAAATAATTTTGTGTGCTGCAAAAAGATTTTGTTGTTAAACGTTTGCCATGAGCTGAAAAGTTTGGAATCTAGGGATCTATGGTAAACAAAGAATGTACACTAAGTAGAAAGCCATTGTATTTGTGTTGCAAAGTCAAAGTTAAAAAACAGCTTTTAAAGAGATACTGGATATTACCTGGTGCTGTCTTTCCTGTGAGTGTTAATCTGGCAGGCAAGCTACCACTTTTCTTAATGGGGCTTGGAGCGGTGCTCAAGCTCTGTCGTTGTCTTCTCAGCTCTTCTTCCCGTTCTTGGGCAGCACGGATCTCCTCCTCAATCATGGATAGAGTTCTTTGCTTCTTGGAACGCAACTTGAAGGGCCCAGCGCTGACCTCTGTCTCTTGTGCCCTCGTTGCTGAGGCTGTACTTCTGAGCTCAGCTGCCTGAGAGTATTTGCTGAAGTAGCTAAACTCTTGCCGGTCATTTTTAGGAGGGGACTGGTTGGAGCCAATGACCAGAGGTGTAATGGTTTCTGTAGCATCTACTGTTGTCTCAACTGTAATCTTTGGAGCTTGGCCTCTCTTTTCCTGCATTAAAGGTGACACCTGGCATGGTTCAACATCTCTGTTTTCCTGCATTGCAGTTGACAACTGAGATGGCTCATTGTCTGTCTTTTGTTGCAATGGAGATGAGACCTGGGGTGTCTCAAAATTAGACTTCTCTTCAGAGGATGAAAATGGGTTTTCAGTGACTTCCACATGCTTTTCTGTGCTGAGAGCTGGGGTCAACTGCTGTGCTTCCAATTCATTTGTCTGTTGAGCAATAGCTTGCTGGATTGCATTTTGGACCAAGATACCTGCATGGTATTCCAGCTGGTCCTCTGTCAGAATGGCTCCTTGATAGGAAGACTGAAGTACAGAAACACTGTGTTCATTGGGTGATTTGGCTCCCCCTTCCATTTTGCCATCAACTGGTGTTGTGACTTGTGGGGTTGATGGGAAAGAGAAATCTCCTAGGGAGTTTTCCAAAAAGGCATTCATGGTCTCATTGGAAGCTCCACTATCACTCACATTATCCATGCTAAAGTCATTAGACAGGGTCTCCAAGACAGTAGTGTCCTGTGACCTGAGAGAGAGGTCATCTAATCCTGAATCAATCTCCTCTGGATGGTAGGATGTATTCACTGACTGTTGTAAAGTATATATTTCGGAATCTTCATCTTTCAATATAGTCATTACTGCTCGGGCACATGTAAAATCTCCATCTTCCATCCAATCCTTGTTGCTTTCTTTCACATCACTGGGTGTAGATGACTCTTTTACATCTGTGTCTTCTGGAATGCAATATATCTTCTCTGCTTTGACTGTGGTTACTTCGCTGACCTCCTCATGCACAGGTTTGACTTGGCCTTTGACAGGGCTTTCCACTGTTATGGAGCTGGTTGCTTTCTCCACATGGGTAACCTCTGGTGCTCTGGAAAATGGTTTGGCAGAATAAAGTTTGGGAGCCACGGTTCTTTTTGGAGCAACAGGCTGCTTGGAGTTTTCCATCAACAAAAACTGCTTCCGTGCTGTTGAGAAGTCAATCTGTTTTGTGACAATGTCTTCCTTCTTGACTGTGGTAGGCTCTGGTGGCACAATAGAGGCAACTGTCTGCTTAGGTGATGTTTGTGGCACATGTAATATTTCAGGCTTCTTTTGCTTACGTTCTTCATACTTCTTATATGATTCTAACTGATCAGCATCTAGCTGTTCTTCTACTGTCTTCTCTTGAGGAGGATTCCACCATTTGGCAGCAATTCCAGGGTTTTTCTTTACTGCCTGGCTCTTAATTAGCTCCCTCCTCTCCCTCTCTAGCTCTGCGATCTCCTCTGAGGGCCGGATTTTTTTTACCCGGATGCACTCCTTCTCTAAACTGCTGTCAAAGAGTTTGGATGGCTTCTTCTCCTCTTGGAAAGCCCGTAGCTCAAACCGGGCCTCTTTCTTGATGGTTGTCAAAACTGGTTCACCTGACAATTTCTTGTAATCCTGCTCATCTATTCCCGAGTGACCATTGGGCTTCACCTGGCTGGAATCTTGGTTTTCTAGAAGGGGCATTGGCCTCCTCTCTACTAATATAACTTCATTGGTAAATGGTGATGACCCACCAGAAACATGTACAGATGGTCCTGAGCCCTCAATGTTGATTGCATTTGGTTCAGGAGAAGAGGTTCCATTCAAAGTGCTCTCAGTAACTGAATCACAGCAGTTGGCTTCCAACACCTCATCAAGATAACGTATCTCCTTGGCAACATCACTATCTAGTGACTCATGTCTGTTTTTCATGCCATTTTGGCCACTGCTGGGAATGCAGTTATGCTGATTCTCTGACTGGGATTCAGAAAAGGGTGATTCACATTCCATTTTGCGTTTGCTTCCAGTTGTAACACTGACAGAGTCGAAGAAACTCACACTCTTCAAGGGTCTTTCCTTCTTCAGCTCAGTGTCATCCTCTATTGTTCTGGAGGAAGATTTCTGAAAGACATCAAAAGTGAATATCAAAGTTATATTATGGCAAATCAAAATCTAATAATCAATTTACAGATCCTATTTTTGCAGAATTTGTGCTTTGTTAAATTAATTTTCTTTGACAGAAATCTTCTTTATCTTGTCCATTACAACCTGCAGTGTAAATACACAATGCATGAAGGTACTGTATGCAGTGAATGAAGAGACATTCAATTACTTTTCAATTAATTCAATACTTGATCATGCCTGAAACTTTGACTTCAGTATTCTTTTTATTGTAGATGATTTAAGAATTAATTTGGCTTGTGATATGTAACAACATTGCATGCAGACAGATGATACACATCTAGTCTTTGTTAATTATAGCTGCACTCAAAATCCTCTAAATAGCTTTACACCTCCATGTCACCAGCAGACGTCACACCTTGTAACCTCTCCCTGTCACAGATGTTGGTGGTACAAATTAGATAACCCACATCCACCAATGGTTAATCCTCTTTTGTAACTAATAAAAGCCCGCTGTCAAAACAACTCTTCTTTTTAATAGAATAGCATAGCATCAGAACATACTGTACATTTTCCATTGATGGTCTTATTATAGTGATATTTGATATTGTAATCATTAGGATTACTTTAGTTCAGGTGGGTAGCTGCGTCAGCATGCGTAGTCTGCAAAGGAAGAAGGCTTCACAGCCGAAACGTTGTGTTTTCTCTCTTCTCTTTTCATCATGGAATAAACATATTACTTGTTCCTTATTAGGATTACTTTGCTTGTTTGGGTATATGGTGAAAATGGAAATATTATATCAGACATACTTGTTAAAACACTACTATCTACTATATGTGTATGGCTGGGTAGAAAATCATTTTTAAATATTAGCAAACAGAAATGTATTAATTATTGCAGTGAAATTAAAAACTGGTGTCTATTGACTCATCGGTGCATAGTAAGGATAACTAATGTCTAGAAAAACATTCAATACAAACCCATCCAATCCCAGCAGTAGCCAACCAGTTGAGTACTGCTTTTTAATTAATTCAGAAAAACACTAGACAGTATGACCTGAACTTTGATCCAAATATACGATTTGTCCTGATTTGATCTTCAAAAACCTTAAAACTCCAACAAGCAGGCCTTCAATAGCATAGAAAAAGAATCTCCAGGGAATAAGTCTAGAAGTGTTTTGTGAATATAAAAAGAATAATAGCAGTAATAGGAGTAAGGTGATTAATTTGATCTGGATATACTGAGTATTACATAGGATATGACATTTTTAAATCACTTGCCTATTTCCTTCACAGTTTGCTTTATAAATCAGATGTATAATTTTCACTCAGAAACTATGTAAACTTCTTTTTGTGTTTTGCTCCCTCTGGAGAAAGTCATACTTTTCTATAATTCAGGAATCTGACACAAAAAGATTCTTGTTTATTGTAACTCTCAGGGTCTGAAGCAGTGTCATCCTCTTCCTTCATATACCTTTTAAAAGAAGAAGTGTCCTTAATTCTAAAATACAAAGCATGTATTGAAAATGCAGGGGACTAAATAATGATTTTAAAACAAAAGATAAAAGAACAGTATGTCCTATGTTAAAATTAGACATTTATGTACAGACCTAATTTTCAGAACTATCTGAAATTAAACAACAAACATAAGAAAGGCAAGTCTGTCTTATGGTGTATTGTTTTTCTTAGATTCCTGTGACAGCCCAACCACAACAACAAAAAGAAAATACTTAACCTTTTTTTAAATAAAAAATATGTATCATGATCTCAGCTTACAAGTAGAGAGGAAATGTGAAATTGTGATACAGCTCAAGTTGCAGTTTTACAGTGAAATCTTCTAAATTTGGCAACCCTGTTAACCCAGTTTCCTAGACCTATTGTTAGGGTATACATTTTTCAGGACCTATTTTTTAATTTTGACTCCGTCCACCAGTCTCAAGATGTTCATGCAGCTTCTTAGTAAACAACGTAATGAGCAGTTTCTACACTTAAATAACTTAAATTATATCATTGAAATTGCATCTGCTTGCACACATCAGCAATTCTGGGGAACTGTTCATTTTGCTGGTATGGCTGAAGAGATGGTTCTTCATTCATATGTGACATTGAAGTATTCCACTTTCATTCTTTTATTTTTAACACAGAAACAGTTAAAAATGATCTGTTATTTTTAATTATCTGTTACAAATTTAAATTTGGGGCTTCCTTTTGTGATGTTACGTTTTCTTCTCTATGTTTTGTTTTATAATCTATCATCAATAGGTTATAAAAAAAGTATCTCTTGAAACATGAGAGGAGCTTAAGTGTAATTAATCCATAGTATACTAAGATTAAATTTACTATTAGAAAAATGTATTCAAATGGAATAGAAATGGTCAAAGAATGTTTGCTTAAACAGTTACTGCTCGTGCAGTGAATCACAGTATTATTATTTGCAGTACATCAAAGGATTATTCATTTAGTGTTTTATTGCCGCTGCTGTAAAAACAAGTGCAATGTACAGTAACAGCTTGTTTGTGGGATATTAGACAGCATTTCATCAAGGAGCATACTCAAGCTCTTGTTGCTGTCCCACTTTACACAAACTTAAAATGTCTCTTTAAACTGTTCATTGGCTAAAGCGCCCCAGTTACAGCCAATAGGAGCTCTTGAAGGAGAAAAAGAACAAGTATCCCCCCTTGTGGTAATTACAGACACTCTTTCTGTTGGTGTTCTACATACCTTTTGGAAGAAAGCAATCAGTATAACAGGGATAAAAAACAAACAGCTTTCACAAGAAGGGAAGCAGGATGAAGCAAATAGCTAATTATCTGCTAAAGGTCTCTTTGGTTTGTTTACCCATAGGGCAATGATGAGGCCTGGTTCCCTGGATTTTGTAACTATAGCAACAACTTATGGACAAGCAAAGGAAAGGTTGTTTAAATTTAGAACTAAAAATAACTTCCTATATGAGAGTCATCATTGTGCTTCTTTTATTATTTTTTGTAGCCATACTATTTTTGAAAGCTGATTCACAATATGACTATACTGTATATGAGGACAACAGAAAAGCCCTAAAATACCAAAATAGAAAGGAAAATGAAATAATAAAATGGGACATATGACTGTCCTCTAATAGCATTCCTAGGTATTAAGAACAACGTTTTGTGGTATTATTATCTGAGGCTGTTTTTTTTTCCCAAGCAATATACTGTACAGTAGCATGCAGATTGCTTAAAAGTGAGTTCTCAGTAAAAATGTTTTGAATAACTACTGTAATGATGTTTTCAGCAACTATTTAATGTATGTCACAGCAATGTCTTACTTTAAAATGATTTCAAAGTCATGCTTAAGGAAAATGGAATTCATGGAATTTTTCTTAGTTTCGATGTGCCAGATGCAGACTGCCAACATCACACTTTTCCAACATCACACTTGTGAAAATATGGGGCAAATCAATTGCATTCAACCTTTAGAAATGGCTTCCCTTCTTCAAAAATGCAACTGGTGCTTAAAACTGGGAACATATTAATAAAGAATCCTTTAAATTACAGTTTGTAACAGAAATGTTTTGGAAGACACTGCAATATTAGCAAATATGCTGCATATCCCATAAAGAAATGTTCTGCATTTACTTAATTCCAAGCAACAGTATTTTTTCTGTTTGCACTTAGAAATTCATTGCATGTATTTCACTTTTTTTCTGGATGGCTTCTATGTAGAGTTCCATTATTTAAGAAAATGCATTTCTTTCTTTGTCCTACACATTCTGCAGCAAAGTCACATAGGACCGGAAAACAGGGCATCCACTTGAGACTGCCTGTTCCATTTTCTTTCAGCTTTTGTAACTAATGTATTAAGCACATGGTTGGATAAATTATTAATCAAATAAAAAGTTCTTTTTATAGCTGAAGCTGTCAAATTGTAGATGTGTGGAAGACCACATACTAAGAATGTCCATTGTGGTCCAGAGTGCTTTTAACCTGCAGGGGGTCTCTTTAAAAGGCCATGTCCTAATTGGGTTAGAATTTCTTTGTAACCTCAAGGGAAACTGCACATTATTCTGACTGAGACCCTCCTGTAGATAATACCCTAATGCATTTCTTAGTGAAAATGGTTCCTAAATGAATTGGATGTAGCCAATGTAGCCATTGTCATTTTACGACTTACTTAATACCTTACTATTAGCTTAGTGCAAATGGAGACAACTGTATTTTATGTTTGTGTGACTGCTGAGAAAGATAAAAAAACAGTTCTTTCATGTTCCTTTTCTACAGAATTGTTTCTATAACAGCAGACAAAGACTTAAAATGTGAAATCACAACCATATCATTTGTTTGTATTGTGGTATTTTAGGAAATGTTACGCTTGTTGTGACTGTAGTCTGTATCAAACCCCCTTCTGTTTAAATGGATTTAAACCTGCCACACTTTCAAACCTGTTATTTCTAAACAATAATATTGAATTGACTTGTCAGTTAAATGTCTTGTTTTCCATGCGATCATATCTGAAGCATTGCAAGAGTAACTTACTTTGAATAAATTAATAACTTGAATTAATGTGCACATATACTTTTCAGTTTAAATTATTTCCTAGGAAAATGCCCTTGATGTCCATTTGATCGTTGGACCTGTTTAGTTGTTATTAATAATGGCAACAATATAGGTCAATAAAAATGCCAGATAAAAACACTGTTCTGATACAGAATATTTTCTATTGAATCATTTCTATCAATGTTTTAGTACAAATATTCCTTCACTGTTTAGAAACATTAGTACATAAAGAACTGAACTGTTTAATTACATTAGTTGAAACATTTAAAACAGCAAATTTAAAATGGTGAAATAACTACTGTAAGTACACACATAGATCTTTTCTCAGAGGACAGATGCACCTTCATTCATAGCCTCATGGTCTGGGTATGGTCTAATACACACGATTAAGTGTTTACTAAAGCTTAAGAGCTTCCTGTGTATGTAATATTTTAATTTTTGGTCTTTTACCATTGGCTTTTCTTTTTG